CTAACCGGGATTCCTCTGCGGCTTCAGCCGGCCCAGATACGAGGCGGCGGTGCCCGTTGGAATGCTGTCCAGGCTCATCGTGGACTCGCTGCGAACCTGGAATGCCGTCGCGGGCTTCTTGGCGAGCGCCAGCACCTCTCTTGGGGGCAGATGCGGCGAGGGAGCGCGCAGGGGGCACGGGGAGGGAAGGCAACCTCCTGAGAAGGACACCCGCCCACTCGTCGGAGGGCACGGGGTGTGTGGCGCTTTCTGTACCTGGCTGCCCCGATACGCAACACGCAACCCGTAGCGTGTCGACACGAAGCTCGGCACGTGGATTGAAAATGGAGGTCAGGCGCGAGAAGTTTGCCAAAACTTGTGCCGACAAGTGCCGAGCCAACACGCAGCGTGTCAACAGGGACGTTTTGAACACGGTACGTGTTGCGTTTCAACACGCGCGTGTCAGGACAGCTAAGTCTCTGTAGGCGGCCGTCCCCTCTAAGACCCCCCTGCCTCCTTGGCCCCCTCGGCCGTGCCCAGTCCTGTCGAGGGGGGACGATCGGGGTAGAACGGCTCAGTGTGGTGTGTGGCGCTCCATGCAGACCGGTTCGAAGGCACAGGCAGTGTGTGTGTGGCCCCATGTGTAGGGGACCGCCGCTTCTACTGATGAACGGACAGCAAACACCCATACGCGTAGGGGGCGGACCCGCGCCTCGCGACTCGAGGCTTCGCTGTGGGTATGGGCGTGGGTTGTCGGACTCCGATCCGAGGGGGGCCCCCGCTGGAGCGGGGAACCCCATCTGGAAACAAGCACCTATAGCCCTTTCAGAAGTCACCCCCGACAACTCTGGGGTTCGAGCAGATGTGGGTGCTAGTTGTCAGCTCATGATCTAAGAAGCTCCCTGCATCCTTGGTAGACCAGCTCAGGTGCGGAAACAGAAAGACTGAATCGGCGTTGCTTCGCCGACTGATCGGCGATAGGCCCTCGATAACGAATCCGCACGCTCTCTTGTAGGGGTGGGCTATCGGGCCCCTGTCGGCGATAAATGGGCGATTGGGGGTCGACGCCCCCATGCTGGATACCCGTAGTGGCGCCCACGCACGTGAAAGCACGTGCCACATGTACGCGTACCAGACGCATGTCGGGCTCCTACCCCTGCGAGCGTGTATCTCTACGTGTGGACAATTTGGCGCCCCCATGTTCGACACCCCCCGCTGGCGCCCACACATATGCGAAAACACGTGACACATGTACGAGTGCCGGATGCATATTCGGCGCAACCCCTCCGCGCACGTATTTCTGAGTGTGAAGAAACCAGCGCCCCCGTACTGGGTACCCCCCCCATTGGCGCCCACACGCGTGAAAGCACGTGCCACATGGACGCGCACCAGGCGCATGTTCGGCACACTCTCTGCATGCACGTATTCATTTGTACGTCCGAAGACTCCAGCACCCCAATGTTGGATATCTCCGCGGACGCCCACACACGTGAAAACACGTGACTCATGTACGCGTGCCAGACGCATGCTCGGCACCTTCCCTGTTCAGCGCCCCCATGTTGGATACCCCCGTGGGCGCCCACACGCGTGAGAACACTTGCCAGATCCACGCATGTCAGACGAATGATCGGCATCCCCTCCCTGCGCGCACGTATTTCAACGTGTGAAGACTCCAGCGTTCCCATGCTGGATACAACCCGTTGGCGCCCACACACGTGAAAGCGCTTGCCACATGCACCCGTGCATGATGCATGTTCGACACGCTCCCTGCGCGCACGTATTTCTACGTGTGGAGAATCCAGTGCCCCGTCCATGTTAGATATCCCCCTTGGCACCAGAACACATGCAAATGCATGCCACATGCACGCGTTCCAGACGCATGTTCGCCCGCCCCTTCCACGCACAGATTTCTAAGCATGAAGACTACAGTGCCCTTATGTTAGATACCCCCCGCTGGCACCAATACATGTAAAAACACGTGCCAGGTGCTCGGGGGCCATAAGCGTCTTCGACATCCCTCTTCCGCGCACGCAGTTCTACAAATGAATACACCAGCACCCCCATGTCGGATACAGCCCGCTGGCGCCCACGCTCGCGGAAACATGTGCCACATGCACGCGTGCCAGACGCATGCTCAGCCCCCACCCTGCACGCACTTACTGCTACGTGTGAAAGTTCCGGCCCCCATACTGGATGTCCGCCTTCAGCGCCCACACGCGAAAACACATGCCACATGCACGCGTGCCAGACGCATATTCGACACCCCCACTGCGCGCACGTATCTCTACGTGTGAAAAACCAGCGCCCCCATTTTGGGTATCGCTCTTTGGCGCCCACAGACGCGAAAAACAAATCCAAATGCACGCGTGACAGACACATGTTCGGCAGCCATCTTCAGCGCACGTGTTTCTACGAGTGAAAAGCCCGGCGCCCACATCTTGGGTGTGAAGATTCGGGCGCCCACATGTTGGATAGCACCCGTTGGCGCTCAAACATGCGAAAGCCAGGTGCAACATGCACACGTGCCAGACGCGTGTTCGACACCCCCCTCCACGCACGTCTTTCTGCGAGTGAAGAATCCAGCGCCCCCCTGTCGGATATCGCCCACTGGCGCCCGAACACTTGAAAACACAACCGCCCGCCTGCATGCGTGCCAGACGCGTGTTCGCCACCCCCCGTCCACGCACATCCTTCTACGTGTGAAAAATCCAGCGCTCCCATGTTGGGGACCGCCCCCGTGGCGCCTCCCCGCACGAAACAGACATGCCATATGCATGCGTACCAGACGCATGTTCGGCACCCCACATCGGCGCACTGTCTCTTACGCGTCAGGAATTTGGCGCCCCCATGTTGCCATGAAACAGATGCCAAATGCACGCGTAAAACACATGCCACATGCACGCGTAAAACACGTGCCAAATGCACGCATACCAGACGCATGTCGAACACCACCCTCCGCACACGGATTTCTAGGTGCGAGAAATCCAGCGCCCCCATGTTGGATACCCCCCGCTGGCACGCACAGCCTCGAAAACACAGCTATATGAACACGTGCTAGACGCATGTTCGGCTTGCTCCTGTACGCCCGTATCTCAAGGTGTGGAGAGCCCGGCGCCCCCACGTCAGATACCCCCCCCTGGCACCTACACACGTCAGAAGCACATGCCACAAGCACCCGTGCCAGATGCATGTTCGACACGCACACACACACACACACACACACACACACACACACACACACACACACACACACACACAAACACGCAATGCACACACACACACACACACACACACGCAATGCACACACACACACACACACCTTTCGCCCATGGATTCACACACATGAGAACACGTGCCAGGTACACGTCGAGGCACATGTTGGATACCTTATGTGGCGCCTACCCGCCTCGCTCACGCAATTAAGCGTGTGAGGTATCAGCCAGCCAATTCAACGCTCCATGCTTTACACCCCTCTGGTCCAGGGCTACAGGTTCGACAGCACAGAGAGAACCCTGGGCTGGAGCCCATAATGGGCAAAAACATGTCATGTACGCTTGCGCCTGCTGAAACAAGCGACTGGCGCGCGCCCAGCGGGTGCTTAGGCGAAGCGGTTTCCACAATTTCCTCTTGGTGGACACACGAGCCCTCCCAGGGGGGTCTCCGAGCCTCTGGCACCGCGTCCTTCCACGTCTTGCCGCGGCAGAACTGCCCCAGCGCCTGGAAGCCCCACCTGAAGCAGCAGGCACTTCGCGACTGGAGGATGACCCGACCCACTCCTCATACTCCCCCACTCCTCCTCCTCCTCCTCCTCCTCCTCCTCCTCCTCCTCCTCCACCTTCTCCTCCTCCTCCTCCTCCTCCTCCTCCTCCTCCTCCTCCTCCTCGGCCCCCGCCCCCGCCTCCGCCTCCGCCTCCGCCTCCGCCTCCTCCATTCCTTTTCCTTACATTTAACTTCTCCCTGTCGCACCCCGAGGCCAGTTTTAGGGCGGGCCGGGCGTTTCGCCTGAGACTTCCTCACCATTTATGACTCTGAAGCTTAAAATTAGCAACAGCTTCACAGATGGAGGGCGGGTCACTTTCAAAATGTGGCTCTCGCCTGAGTGCGGCGCACTTTCGTTGTTAAAAATCCCAGAGTTTCAAGGATTGAGGGCGGGTGGTTTTCAAAATGTGGCTCTCGCCCTGGCGCGGCGCACGTTCATTAAAAAATGCTAGAGGCGGTTCCTTTTCAAAATGTGGCTCTCGCCTTAGCGCGGCGCACATTGGCTTTATATAACTGCACCAAGAGTTTCCTGGATTGCCATCATCAACGTGTCATATGTCAGAAATGGTGTTCTGGGAGCATTCGGGATTATGCGGGTGCAGCAGTTACGTTGGTTCGCTGTGTTGAAGTTCCAGGAATGGCGTTCTGGCACGATTCATGATTGTTAAGACGCAACAGTCAAGTTGATCCGTGGCGTTGGAATCCCGTGAGCAATGTTTTGGCATGTTTCAGGGTCTTCAAACGGATGGCTTTCTTCCAAAGAGGCAGTTACTCCAATGGAAATGAACCGTTGTAGGGGCCTATGAAGAGGGAGCTTGGAAGGAGGGTTTATTACAACATCGTTGATGATTCTTGGGTTTACACTGGTCCTCCTCCTCATCCTCCTGCGCCTCCTCCTCCTTCTCCTCCTCCTCTTCCTCCTCCTCCTCTTCCTTCTCCTTCTCCTCCTCCTCCTCCTCCTCCTCCTCCTCATCATCATCATCATCATCATCATCCTCATGCTAATGGCAGTCGTGTTCATCCGCTTCCGGTTTGCAGCAGATAGCTCGGCAGCGCAGGGAGTCAAGACGGCATACAAGATTCACGCCGACCGCACGAAGGCAAGAGTGGCCACGATGAGGAAGGTCCAGACCCATGGGCATTCATGACGATGCTGCTTGAGGCAAGTACGTCAAAGCATCTCGGGGAGGAAAATCTCAGGAAGATCCGGACTTTCCTTGCGGCCCACCCGCCGCCTAGTGATCCCAGAGATGTACAAATCCAACAAGGTGAAGCTTTCGATTCGTGTGCATCCAGAATACGTTAATTTGAAAAAACATGGTGATCAAGTACCTCTGGGCCATAAAATGCAAGCAGTACTTCGGACAGGCCCCCCGGGGAGCCCTGGAGAGGAAGGCCCAGGACCTCTTCAAGGAGCTCAACCTCGATCTGAGTGACGAGGAGTAGGCGTGAAATGCGCCTGGTGCCTCGGCTGTGCTCGCCGCTCCCCTTGGAGTGCTTGGCCGGGCACGGTCGGGACCGCTCCCCTAGGCCTGGGGCCGAAGCCTTCGGAAATTCGGACAACGACCCGATCGCTCTGCCTGACTCCGGATGCACGGAGTCTATGCGCAGTTCTGCCGCCGCCTCATCCCCCTCCTCATCCCTCCCTCCTCCTTCATGTTCGAAGAGAGAGCGGCCCGCTGAGCAAACCACGCCAAGCCTGCTCAGGCGCCTTCCCAGCCAGGCCAGGACCAGGGGCCGAGAATATGTAAAACAACGCCATGCTCCTCCTCTTCCTCCTCCTCCTCCTCCTCCTCCTCCTCCTCCTCCTCCTCCTCCTCCTCCGCCTCCCCGTTCTCGCATTTTGCTCGCGGGGATGTAGCCTCGACGTCAGCTGCGCATGGAGAGGGGGGATCCAGCCCCTCCGAAATCGGCGCGTTCCCCACCAAAAGACCGCTCCAGCATCCCGCAGGTGATGGAGATCGGTGCAAATTCTGCCAGCGCCTCCTTTGAGGATGACAAGTCTTAGAAGGAGGAGGAGGAGGAGGAGGAGGAGGAGGACCCGCAGGACCACGGGCTGCTCTCAAAGGTTTGATGCGGTCTCGGAGCTGTCAGGACCCTGGCGAAAACCACGGGGATGCGGGCACAAGCCAGCAACACCGTGCGAGTGTTCGCCTCCCCGTGAGATTCTCGCACTCGCGGACGGATTGGGCACGCAAGCAAAACAGTGTGATATGGCTTCGTAGCTGCGGCGACCGGGGGTGTGACCAGTCACGCCAACGCAGGACGACCCTCTCACAGATGGCCAAAGGCCTTACTTTGCACGCCACACAGGGGTGCGTCGAAAACAGGTGCGAATGTTGTCCAAAACCGACAGCGGCCGCTGTTGGGCAGACGGCCTCCTGCCTCAAACGGACAACGCCCGCGGAGGCACCGACAGAGAGTCCTGTCCAGAAGGAGCAGGGAATCATGTCGGTATTCGCACCCCTTCTTTCCGTACCCATTTCGATCGCACAGATCTGCCCTTCGACAGAGTTCGGGCGCGCGCTAACTTGAATTAGAGATCCGTGGATCTGGCGCGTGGGCGCCAAATCCACTGATCAAGGTTAAGCATTCAGCCAACGCCGCCCGATTTGACGACGGAGCACGCAGATATTGAAAGGAAACGGGACCCGTCGCTAGTCCACGCGCCTGAATCCATGTTTGCGTTTCATCGAGTCGGCTACACACAAGAGTGACCCTAGGCAAGAGTGACCTTTGGCGCGTGGCTTTTGGAGAGCCCGCGAGGGGGGGGGCTAAACCCAAGCGCGCAAGACGCAACCATCGCATCACATTCGGCCATCGGGGGACCCCAGTGCGCCCGCACCCAGAAGCCACTCCGGCGAAAGGTCGCTCCTACGTGCAGTCGATCGAAAAAAGGGCGCTTGCTCTGCCGAGGGCCGCCTGTCGCCCGGCTCCCGGAACAGGCGCGAGATGATGAGGCCGCGCTCGCTCCTCTCGGGGGAAAAAGCGGCGGCCCGCCGATCGCCGCCCGGGCGCCTCTCTGCCTTCTGGCGGCAGGGCACGGCACCCCTGCTCAGAGTTCAGGCTTGCCTTTCGCTCAGAAGATGGACTTCACTGCAGGCGTTTTCGCAAGCAGTAGTCCAGGTCCACCTATACGGAAGTTCCACGAAAGAAAGAAGCTCCAAGAAAACGCCCAGGGTGATGCGAAATCTGGACCCCATGGAAAATTACGAGTATTGCTTGAGAGTGCTGATGGGCGCAAAGAGAAGGAGGAGGAAGCAAAAGGGAAGGCGGAGGAACAGACTCGCCAGACAAAGCTGGCAAGTGCTGCAAGGGGTGTGCATGTGCTAAGGGGGTGACAGGTCGTAGAAAATAGCGGCGAAAGATGAACAATGAAAAGCTGCACGCGCATAGCATCTGGAAGACTATGAATAAGTGATGTTCGCCATGACATGCAAGCGGTGGTAGTGAAGATACGGCGTGACGCCGTGACGCCTCCCCCTCGGGGCTGTCTTGTATGCAGGGTGTCGTGATCAATCGAAGACGCGGGGTGGGACACTCAGAGACAACTGGGATCCTGTGGGGTCTGGCGACCGCGCTATAGTGTCGTCATTCGTAGAGGACGCGAGGCGGGATACTGAGGGACCACGGGGATCCTGTGGGGCCTGGTGACCGCGGTATGCAGGGTGGGCAGACGGGAGCTCTATTTTTACAATCTAACAACCCCAACCTGTCGGGTGGGCAAATATAAACCACAACGTGATGAAGCAAGTCGGTCGAGATCAAGACTGCCTCGAACGCCCGAAGTTGCCCTGACCCGCTCTCACAAACCGCCCACGTACCAGCGCCTCATCCTACAGCCTTTGATAGAAACGATTAGCCACGCGTATGGGGATACATGAGACATGGACGACAAGAGAGAAAGAGGAAGAGAGAGAGGGACAGAGACACAAGACAGAGAGAGAGCCAGAGAGAGAAAGAGGAGACAGAGAGAGAGAGACAGACAGACAGACATGGAGAGAGAGAGAGAGAGAGAGCGAGTGAGTGAGCGAGAGGGTGAGAAGGGAGGGAAGGACGTAAACAATAAGAAGATGGGTGGAGGAGAAGAAGAGCGAGGGAGAGGGGGGGGCAGTTTGGAGAAAAGAAGGGGAGCCGGCGGGTGGATGTGAAAAAGGAGATGGTGGGGTACGTAAGTTCATTTCGCTCCCGGTCTGGGACCAGAATTTGGTCTCCCCCGATCCTCCCCTCTTTCAGCAGGTACCTGGCCAGCTCGGCACCCGAGCTGTCGAAAATCCTGCAGTACGCGTTAGAGACCTGCCCGAAGGTCACGCCATTGGTGTAGATGTTGACGACGAATACAATCTGCTCAACATTCGGCGGGATCTTTGCCAAATCCGCGGAAATGACCTGAGATCCAGAAACCCCCCAAGACAGCGGAACTCCACCGGACTGACATCTCGAGGAGAATTCACTGGACATGTTAATAGGCGTCACAACTCGGGCATCTATTTCTGAATTGCAGTCCGGCACTGGCCACTAAACGACGCCACCGCTGCATGAGGCGCACGAGCTTCAGGCAAGAGACGAGAACAGATCAAAACATCCTGACACATGCGAGCCCGGGCAAATCAACCTGGCCTGGGAAAGAAAACCAAATGAATCTCGTGCATGTCCACTTTGATAAAAGCGGCTATAGACGCTCCACACAAGAACCTGGAGGACGAAAGGGAAGAAAGGAGGGGAATAGAAAGAAAACGAAAGTAAGGTCGACTCCGGCGCGCTGGACCGAGCCACAAGTTGAGGAAAAGTGCCATGGAATTGTCAGTTCGCCGAAGATTCCAGACATCCGTCGCTACGATCTGTCGTGCAGTGGGCCCCCCCAAAAAACCCTCGAAGCTTATCATACAGGATCGTTGTTTGATGGTCCAGGACCAGAAACGGGCTTTCAGAAGCCCAACCGCGAGAACAGAAGACAAGTGCCTCGAATGCTCGTGACGAAGGACGCCTGGAATCAAGAACCCCGTAGGCCTCGACGAAATTTAGCTCTGGAAGTTTGGATTCCCAAGGCGTGCTGGCCATAGGATGACCTCGTCGTCCCCGTCGCCCTCGCCTAAGGGAGCTCTCAATCCAGAGGACGACGTGAAGAAGGGAGGAGGAGGAGGAGGAGGAGGAGGAGGAGGAGGAGGAGGAGGAAGAGGAGGCGGAGGAGGAGGAGGAGGAGTAGGAGGACAAGGCGGAGGAGGTGGAGGAGGAGGTGGAGGAAAGGGGAAGACGGAGGAGGATAAAAGAAAGAGGAGGGGGAGGAGGGGGAGGAAAAGCAGAAGAAGCTGTTGCTGCGCCTGCTGCTGCTGATCCTCCCCCTCCTGTCACGCCATCCGGGAGCTCTTGCGGACGAGGGGCGAGCAAGAGGGAAGACCACCAGATTGGCAGTTACAGTTGGGGGCCCCGCTCGCCAGTGAGATTATCCCCCGAGTGCTTGAGCCCGAAATCTTCGTCGTTGCCGAAAAAGACAGCGCCGAGCTCCCGGTGCTCCTTGGAGAAGCAGATCGCGGACACGTCGAGGTCGACCTCTCTGGGCTCCAGCGACCAGCTGCAAGAGGCATCCCCCGACCCACGTCCCCTGTCGCTGGGAGGCGCCCCTGGGCAAAGGAGGGGGGGGCCCTGGCTTCGCCCAGGGAAGCCTTGGGAGGCCCCCTTCGAAAAGGCAGCAGCCAAGGAAGAGGAGAGAGAGAGAGAAGGAGATCGCCTTCTCGCAGCTGGACTCACAATGTGGAACATGTAGAGACCACGCCTCGATGCCTGTTCCGTCCGTGGGGGTCGCGCCCTCGGAGCCGTCAGCCATCCAAGATTCAACTTCGGGAATTTCAAACCCCGTTTCACGCGCGAGGGGCTGCAATCTGCAACTGAACCCGACGTGAGGTGGTGCACCAAAAGCTGGCCCAGAGACAAAAACCCTTTGAGGGCCCCGACGGCAAGGCAACCCCCAGGGTGCACCCCAGCCCTCGGGCACCGAGGCAAATAGCAGGAACCCATCCAGAACAGGCCTACATCCTACCAGCCCCTTAGTGCGTGACTGGTTAGGGCGTTTCCTCTTCCAACCCCCCCTTTCCCCTTCGCGGAATGGTGTATCACTGTTCCCAATTAGTCAACACCCCCCCGGGCGACCAGCAGCCAACCAGGACCAATGAGTGACCAATGAGAACCCCCTCCCATTCCTGCTGAGACACCATACGAAGCACACTATCGGGCAAAATCCTAGGTCATGCGCGTGGGCCACGCG